AGTTTCATCATTGCTACACAACCAGTTCTCAAGAGATTCAAAATGGTTCGACGCTTGACAGTCATACTTTGCAAAAGAGATACATTTATTTTTATTGCATATCTATATATTAAGCAATTGAATGAAAGAGTGGGAAAATACTATGTAACATGTTTCATTCTCTAAAAGGTCTTTATCAGAATAAAGTAATGTTCTTACTGATGGAATCATAAATGTGTAGGAGAAGGAGGTAGATATAAATTGGGGGGATATGTAGGAGAAGGGGGGTAGATATAAATCCGGGGGAGTATATAAACATAAACGTTGGTTATAATTATACACCGAGGAGAAGTGCTGAATGTGTATGCAGAATTTTTTTTTTTTTTATAATTTTAAAATTAAAAAAAAGTTTTGTTTTTTGTGTCAGATATATCTGAAATTTTGCCATGTCATTCATTTGCCTCACCCTGTCCTGATATATAGAAATTTATAGATCATTTTCTTCCACATCTATAGATAGATAGATAGATAGAGTGTGTAAGACATCATCACAGCCTATATTAAACTTTCAGCCTTCTAAAAAATACCAGGATGTAGACAATTTGTCATTCAAATAGAGAGCACATTGGTTCTTGAAAATGACTGCAACAGCTGAAAGTACTTGACTAGAACAACAACACAAATATGAAGTTTGGACAGTTTTTACACAATTTCAACCCCATTGCACAAATACGTTTTTCAAAAATTGGAAAAATGCAATAAAAATTAAACAGACAGACGTTGTTGGTGGTATTTAATCAAACTTGTTTGGCTGAATGCTGCTTCCTTATAAGGAAGGGTTTAGCATTCATTGACTGAGAAGCCAGTGCTATTGCCAGTTGAAATTTATAAAATATTTCTTTTAAAACTATATTTCAGGAAAATAGCCTTTTCAAATCCATTAATTTTTATGGCTCTTTCATTCCAATTCCAGATCATAGTTTCTATTTTGGAAAGGTTTATCTTATGTTCAATTAGTAGATGATGTTGATTTTCTGTTCAGTATGATTCTTATCCCAACTATGAATAACTATATCATCAGCCGCATAGCACTCCCCTCCCCCATCATCAGCAAGGGAAAGCAGGATCGAGGTCTGCAATTAGATTCTTTTTGGGACGTGGTATGGAATACTTAAAGGATTAGGGCCCATCTCTTCATATCTATGCTTGTATATGCACAGGGTATAGTCTAGGAAAAGATTAAATAGAGGGCTTTCATTTCCTTCTGATCATATTCCTGATGAGGTCTGAAATGTTTCCATATTGGTGTCCTTGCCAGACATATATGATTTTCTGGAGCCATAAAATTTACCTATCAGATCGATGCATTCAGTAGATTCGAAGTTTGGAATATACTTTATTTTATTTTGCATATACAAGAGAGAGACGTATCTAAAGCAAATCTAAAATTGAATCCTATCAGCAGAAACAATTCTTACTGTCTAAAAGAAAATATGCTTATATACTGGATATCGTTGCAAGAACACAAACATGAACTTCAAACAATTCATCCACAATTTTGATCCCAATACACAACACCTTTTATTCAATTTCCTAACAAATGAAAACAACAAAGTTTTTCTGCAGAGGCAGAAAGAACTAGTGACACATGTTCAAATAAAATTAGCTGTATTCCCAGCAAAATGTCTTTTTTGTGAGCAAGGGAGGTGGCATGGGAAAAGGGAGAGTTAATTGTACATATGCTTGGCATTGAAGCTGATGTCAGGTCAGTTGACCAAGAGGCCACTGGTGAACTCTGTGAACTGCCTGTGTACTGCTGCAACATTTAAATTTTATTCTATATTTTTGGGAAATTTATTTTGTGATCTGTATGCAAGGCTTGAAGGCCCTGCACAGAGAGTGATTTTTTATATATTTTTTTATTTTGCTTTCATAGAGTTCACACATGGCCAACAGGTTTTGATGTGGAGTAAATCAGAAACCAGTACTAATTTAAAGCAGAGTATAACAATAACTTCCCATTAATTTGACCAATTAAAAAGTGATTGGATATATTTATATGGTTTGGCGAAACAGATTTTACACAAATACAAAGTAATCTTCATGCAATATGACATTGCTGCTCACCAATATAGTTGATATCCAGTATGTGCATTTCCAATTTGCACCTTTCTAATCAAGGGTCAGAATGTCTTTGCTAAAAGAGGAAAGACATTTTTTTTCCTTACCGGAAACCCCAATGATTTATCCTTGATGCATGGGTTCAAAGCATATTCTAAGTGAGTATCTCTCTATAACTGCATTATCAGAGGTTTTCTGTCTCTTATTTAGGTGCACTTCTGTTTAAATTATATTTAAGCAGAAGTGCACCGAAATAAGAGACATGGTCATTTTATCAGTTTTTCATAAGTATTTATTAATCTTATATTACAAGAGGTCAACACTTTCACACATCACGTAAAGATAATTCTGTAACATTTGAGAAATTATTTTCATTCTTAAAAATAATTTTAAATGATTTTTCATCTTGACACAATCGTTAGAATATTCTTTTTTTGTCTTCATTTGGAAAATATTTGTATTTGGAAGTCACTTGGTACTTCCATTCTTGTGGCTTTGTTAAATTCTAAAACTAGTTTTCAAGGAATGAAAATAAAATAATATCAAATGAAATCTAAAGATCACAAAATGCAAAATGTGTCTTTAACCTGAGGAAAACAAAGAACATATAACACAAAAGTAAAAAGTTATGAATAAAATGTGTTGCCGAGTCAAAAATAATATGAAACTTAAAAGGTAGCACTGCATGTTAGATTCTGCCACCATCATTTAGAAGCTGAAATCAGTGTTTTCAGGGGTTTTTTTCTGGTAACAATCCTACAACAGCGTTCAGTTGTTCTGTTCAAGCAGAAAAGAGATTTATCATGCAAACAAGAAATAGACCTTGACTGGATAATTGTGTTACATTGTACAATAGAAAAGAATAGTGACACTTTATGAAATATGTTAGCAGTTAGCAAGGTAAGGCAGGTACAAACATTGGTAGTTGTTAACCAATTCAAATAATAGTGAGATTTCAATTCAAAATTTATCTCATGAACTGAATGTAACAGGTTGCATGCTTAGAGTCCTTTCTCGGGCTATTTGAATCATTTCTTTACATATTCTGAGTACAAATATGGAATGGGTCTTCAAATTTTCTCATAGCAAAATTATTCTAACTTTATCATTATTTCAACCAGTCTAATTTAGGTGACCATAGATGGATGTTTGATGAAGAGAGAAAATTTTAAAAGTTATTAAATGGCTTGTTTGAAGTGTTAGAAGATTGTTAATCATTACTCTTCTTTAGCCAAGAAACAAGCAACAGCAGGGAGTACAATTTCAAAAGATAGATATTGCAGACTAAAAAAAGCAGACATATATGATAACAACACATTTAGACATGCCCCCAGTGGTGGTGGTGGGGAATAAAAATCATTGTCGATAAATGTGTTAATTGAATATTTGGGAAAGAAGAGAGAAGCAAAAATAAAAAATAAAAAATTATTTCGTAAATAAAAAATATAAAACAAAAAAACAACTAAGAAGAGTGAGAGACTTTTTTCTGCCCTTTCGTCCTCGATACACCTCATGATGAACAGCTCTAGTTGACACTTGTAGTAAAAAGAATGTTTATTCGCTCAACAATTTCCGGGATTTAAAAAAAAAAAAAAAAAAAAACGATTTAGCAACATCCAGTTATTTCAACTTATTTTACTTTGATTATTTATTTTATGATATTTTATCTATTTTACTTTTATCTTAAATTTTTAATCTATAGATTATATTTTTTTCCTCAAATGTTTTATTCTCCGTCTTCTGCAACAAAGAAAAGCGGCGGTGGAGGCGGCGGTTCCTCTTCTTAATTCCGTTTCAGAGTTTTTTTTGGGGGGGGAAAAAAAGCAATAAACATCGACGTTCGTTTCCGAAAAGAAAAAAAAAATCTTTTACTGATTATTTCAGTCAGCGAATAAAATTTTTTTTTTTTTTTTTTTTTTTCCTGGCGGTCAGTCACCCGAAAAAGAAATTCTCGCTCAAGGTAAACATCCTAAAATCTCAAACTGATTTCATTTTAAATAAATCTTTAAATTATTTTCTTTTCCGTTGTTTCTTGGTAAAAATAACAATGGTTGATTTGTAAAAACGAAAAAAATAGTATTTCCTTATCGACTGTCTTTTTTAGTTTAGAGAATTTTACGACTGAGGAAAAAAATATTTAATTTTGATATTTAAAGTTTCATGTGAATTTTAACAGTTAAATAAATGAGGACGTTTTTGTGTGTCAAGTTTAAAAAGGTACGTTTTTGGACAAATTTAATGAGGGGTTTTTGTTTCTGGTCGACACTTTTTGAAAAACTAAAAAACAGAAGGAAGGAATTAAAACCAGAGGAAAAAAATAACGAAATGAATGAATTAAAGAATGAATTCATTCAGTTCGTTATTTTTCTGACAACAAGAAAAAAAAAAAAAAGGAAGCACTTCATTCATTATTGAATATTTTTTCAATGAATGAATTCTTTAATCACGGCTTGTATAAGAAAGAAAAAGTGTTAATTTCCAAGTCTCATAAAGGCACGTAGGGGTTAAAAATGATCGTTTATTACTTTGATGAGGAACTTCATGATTTATGGCTTTAATAAAGAGATTTTAAAGGCAACTCTGATGGTGAAAATAATTTTTAAAAAAAAAGGAAGTTTTTTTTTTTTTTTAAAACGCCTTGTTTATCATAAGGGAATCATCAACAACAAAAAAAAAAATAAAAACATTTCAAATCAGATCATTAGGAACAAAAAGTGATTTTTAGGTTAAAAAAGATTTTTGGAGCGCAGACAAATTAAAAATTAAGCAATTTCTTTAATAAATTGAAATTCCTATGCCTTCCCGGCAAAGAAAGAAAAACTCTTCTGGTGATGAAAGAAAAATCTTATTGCAATATTATTATTATTATTTTTTTCTTGTAAATGTTTCTCTTTTCTTACCTGGTAAGTTAGTGATTCACCTGTTTGGTCATCACCCGAAGAATCTGTTGCTGTAAAAAGCCCAACAATATTTGTGCGGGTCACATCTTCTTGTTTTATAAAATTTGCAGATGCCGCCGCCGCCGCCGCCACCATCATTCCGAGAGATTTCGACTTTCCACTGCCTTCGTCAGGAATAATTGTGTCAGCCAGGTGTGGAAATCGAGAGTGCTTCATTACAAGGGAAAAGGACATTTTATTTTAAATCTTGTGGATATTTTTTTAAAAATGAGGGTTGGTTTAAAATTGAAAATTAATAAGTTGTAATTATTAGGTAATAAAAATCACGAGTCGTCAGTAGCCGCCCATGTTGACGACGATAAGAGAAAAACAATTCTAGTCAGAGATTGCGAAGGAGAAGAGACATAGTTAGATTTTCATTTAACTTTTCGGAAAACAGTTTCTGGATCTTTAATCTAATCCTTGTTTCAGGTCTGATAACATGAAAGTAAAAAGTGAACGAAGAAGAAACGTACTGGTGTCCGCACCGGACTCGATTTGTAACTCACTACTCAGCCATTTGTCGGGCAACTGCTGTTTCGAAGTCAGTGCGTTTCTTCTTAATCCCTTCCCGACGGCGAGTCTCCCAGACGAAAATCCGAGTCTATTATTTGCAACGATTACATTAAAAAAAACAAAACAACAACAACATGTACATTCAGTTTTTGTCGACGCAAACAAAATATTTCAGTTAAGAGAATTTTCATTAAAAAAAATCCAAGGTAAATTCGAGAAGCTCAAAAAAAAAAAAAAAGAAAACCTCTCTGCTCTTGCCGACTGCTGTAAAATGTGCGTGCTCAACAACAACAACAATATCTCATTAAACAAAGAAAGAAAGATTTTAGTTTTGGGCTTTCTCTCTCTTTCTCTTCTAATCTCTTTTTTACTAGTGTTTTTTTCAATCCAACATGAAAAAAAATTCTATGAATTGTTTTAGAAAAACTGAGAAATTTTTCTGTTTGTTTACAATAATTTAATTAATTCTCTCCTCTCGCTCACATGACAATTTGAAACAAATCAGTTTTTCTTTTTCATGAGATTAGACAACAACAGTAAAACACGAGTCAGTATTGTATTTTGGATTTCAATATTTTTTTTTAACTGTTGATGACAATTTCTAAAAACGACAATGTTGAAAAGAATTTAATTTTTGGATTTTGTAACTTTAGCAAACTATTTCGATTATTTAACTTTTTTTATTTCCTGTGAAAACTGAAATATAAATTTTAAAAGAAGTTGCATTGTTGGTCTTTTTATTAATGAAAATAAAAAAAAATAATGAAATCTCTTTTTCTCTCCCAAACTGGCGTTGATAAAGGGCATCTATACACCTCCATCTTTTTAAGTTTTTAAAATTCATCGATAATTAAAGCAACTAACTGCTCAGAATTTAATTTGTTTCAAAATTTCATTTTTTTTTTAATTATTTAAAATAAAATGACACCTTTTATGAGTGTTACATTTTTAGGCAACCTGCCGCCAACATTACAAGAAGAGAAGAAGAAACAGAAAAACAAGTGAAATATAATCCCATACGACATATCTTAGTTTACTCCTGCGACAAAATAAAATTGATTAAAAATCTGCTAAGTATTAGAGACTTTCTTTGTTCTAAGGTATCATTTCATTTATAAACATTTAAATTAAAAATAAACAACTATCCTTCACCTAAAGTTAATATCAATTGCAAAAAATGGCGATTTAAAAACCAACATAAATAATAACAAACTTCTTTATGTCGAGTGTTCAGCAAAAATAAAATTTGATGCAAGGGAGAAGATTTCAACATTTTCACCCTTCTCCCCATAAGTAAATTTAGTTAGAGACTCTCTTACGAAAAAGACGAGGCTCTTTTACGAAAAAGACAAGAAGACTCTTAGAAGGTGAAATTTACAAAGAACAAACATTTATACAAAAAATATTTTCTCTATATACAAGTTGTACAAATTACATTAGGCCTTGCACAAAATTTCCCTTGGACGCCTCAAATTATCAAGGCAGATTAACAGTTCTTTACAATACAATTCTTAGATTGAACAGTCTTCCTTAACAACAAAGGAATTTTAGCAACCTTCTTTTAGAGCAACAATTTATATAAATCAAATTCTTAGCAGCGAAAGAAATTTACTTAATTTGAAAAATTCACGAATTCAAAATTCGATGGCCAAAAATTGAAGGGGTGAGAAAAGGAGGACCTACCTTTATCAATGCTGCTTCTCTAGGTCCTTTTAAACAAATTTCTCAAATATGAGATAAACTCTCACAGGTCATTCGAATGAGATAAAATCTCACAGGTTTAGAAAACCAGGTTCGACGTTGCTTAACTTCGGTGTTCGTACGCGGACCAGTTTTTCAACGTGATGTGGCCGTAAGCCAGATGAAGAAGAGACTTGAAGCAACAGAAATGTGGCTCTACAGAAGGATATTGAGAATACCATAGACCGAATATGTGAACAACGATGAAGTTTTAAAGAAAATGGAAACAAAAAGGATACTTAATGTTAACACCAGGAAGAGACAGTTGAAATTTCTGGGTCACAAAATAAGGAAAGAGGGTTTATAAAATCTGATACTCACAGGACAGATTGAAGGCAAGAGGGACAGAGGAAAACAAAGCATAACCCACCTAGCGAATTTGAGTAAATGGATGACGGAAAAATGTTAAGGAGAGATAACTTAGACAAAATTTATTAAGAGCTACAAGCGACAGGACATTGTGGAGAGCCGTGATCGCCAATATCCTGAAGGGATACGCCACATAGAAGCTAACAGCAAAGTAAGCAACTGGAAGAGAATCCCAGAAGTGCGTGCGAAGAAGCTATTTGAATAGAACATACGTTTATCAATTTCAGTAATAAATGGATTTAGACCTAGCTGCCAACATATTACTACGCCTAAATTCCTGAAGTCAACAAAGAGAAAAAGCTTATCAGAAAAATTGCCATGAAAATATTTAGAAAAGGCACGGGGAAGCTATGTTACGGCGGTGGAAAAAGGACTGAAGACGAGATACTACGTAAGGAGCGAAAACATTGCAAATTCCTTGGATTTCAACAAGAATCTCTCGATATATAGCAAAAGCACCAGATCAAATGTGGAAACAGTATTCAATACACGAACGTAGACTTATAAAGGTGCGAGACAGATTCCGGAGAGAAAAATTGTCTAGCACGACACATTGAACTAATAATTTTTTAAACTGCAGACCTAATACGACTGAAATATTTCGCAATCAAGATATAGCAGACACGAATAAGCAACATATTTACTAAATGCTTTTTCAGAAATTTCCAGACAGTCTTTTCACTTTTGGAAGATTGGTGCGACACAATCTTACTGCCATCCTGTTTTTGGTCTTTTGCCGTATCAAGCTAAGCTTAAGACTCATATTCGAGATCAAGATATCAGCAAGAAATTCGTTTCTTGAATTGTTTCAAGTTGCAACGATGAGACAATCCATACTAACGTAGCAAATGGCTTTTTTATCTTTATTCTTTCTTTTTTTAACTCAACATACCCATTTGAAACATTCTTTATCGTACCCTCCGCACTTTCGCGAACCAGAAGATGAAATTTTCATGTATTTGACCGGAAAATATTTACTGATTTTGATTATCGAAATTCTCCTTTTTCAGAGATAGTTGTCGCTCTCGCACGGTTTGGGCCTTACAAAGTATCTGTAGCAATACCGATTGAGTAGGATGCAATGACAAAAAACAAAAAAACGATAACCACAGCAAAACAAAAACATTTTCAAATTATTTCTATCTTTCTTGACGGCTGTTGTTTAAATCTGTACAACCGTCAACATTCAGAAATTAATCGTTTGCCTTGGAGCTTGTCAGCAGGCGATCATTACTCACTCAACAACAACAACGTCTACCATTGTTCAACTGCCAAGGTTCACTCACACTGTATCTTCATTTTCTTCATTCCAATGGCTTGAGCCTGTAGTACTCACTCATAAGACTGAATCATGTGTTTAACAATAGCCACTGAATTCCATTTGCTCACACAATAAAGTAGGCATTAATTGAGTCAAGCATTATAGAATGGACATTTATTACGAACAAATGACACTGGAATGTCGGACTATTGTAGCTTTGGTAATTAGTCGTGGTCAAAATTAATATAGTTAATAATAGACTTCCAATAATTATTGTAAAATTTCAAACTGCATTTTAGTTACATATTTTATTTACGACAAAGGTTTTGCATATGTTGATATTTCGCTGGTGTATTTTTTCTTAGTTAACAATTTCAGTATTTGAAATGTTCGTAGAAATAAACATGTGTTTGTTATGAAGAAAGTTCATATATTTTAGTAAATGTCATTATTCCCAGTTTACAAAAGCAAAGAAAGCGCATTATTAGCCTTGAAAAACATATTTTCAGTTATCGTTGATGATAAGTTTCTGTTTTTTTAATCTTTAGTCGCTTATTTTAGGAATTAAGGAAACTCCTCGGCGCAGATTTGTGTAGACGAGCTGGCATTTTTGAGTTGATTGAAGATGACTTGTTGAAAAGTCACGTTTTTATCCGCGATTGAATGATAATTCACTTTTTATACATTACTACTACGTCCGGAAAATTATAATCTTATTTTTAGATTTTGTTTTTGATGGCTTTTCATGAGAGTCTGACATTTATCTCTCTCTCTCTCTCTCTCTCTCTATATATATATATATATATATATATATATATATATATATATGTGTGTGTGTGTGTGTGTGTGTGTGTGTGTGTGTGTGTGTGTGTGTGTGTGTGTGCTCCGACCATGTATGCTGGTGAAGATGAAAAGTTAACTTTCTATCTCTCTTTGAAAGAACTATTGTTTAAAGTACATGAGTGGGCAAGGACTCTGAGACCTGGAAGGCATGGGGCTTAAAAATGTCATAGTAACGGTCTTCTACTGTTGCAGATATGTGTGCAGCTTAATCTGTCCATTGCTAGTATGACACTTAGACAAAAGGATAAAGTTAACACTACTTGGATGCATCCTGGATCGAAACAGTGGTATTTAATTGACTATGTTCTTGTCAGGAGGGATGTGCATGATCTTAGGTCCGGTTTATGAGTGGCGCAGATTGCAGGACAGACCATCGTGTAGTACACGCCAAGGCGAATTTTGTAATAAAACCCAGGGTCAGAGCGAAAGGTGTGATTCTTCCTAAACGCTTGAATGTTGGTCGCATTAAGGATGAGATTGTGAAGGAAAAACTAAGAGATATATTGGAAAACATTGAAAGTACAACTGGGATGATTTCCGGTATAAAGTGACTAGAGTTTGTGTAAAGGTCCTGGATTATATTGGAAAGAAACACAAGGATTTGTTTGAAGAAAATGATGAACAGATTAATGCACACATTGAAGAAATGAATAGAACTTTAACATCAATTTTATCTGGGAATAATTCTCCCCAAGACCAAACCTATTTTAAGGAAGTTAAAAAGGCATACAAGTAAATCTCAGGATAAATGGTGAAAAGCTGACCAAAGCTGACGAAATTCAGTCCGCCTCTAACACTAACTACACCAAGCTACTATACAGCTTGTTGCGTAAGGCCTATGGTCATTTCAGCTCTTCCGTTGAACCAATTAGATCAAAAGATGGTGAACAGTTGCTGTGTGACCCCAAGAGCATACTTGAGTATTGGCGTAACCACTTTGAGGAGTTTCTGAATCGTCCTTCACAGGTAAATGATGAGCTCATACCAAACCAACCAGCCAAGCATGTGATGGCAAAGGCTCCAGCTACTGAGGAAGTGTCTGGTGCAATTGCAAAATTAAACAGTGGAAAGTCGCCAAGCATGGATGGTCTAAGTGCAAAAATTTTGTAATGTGGTGGTGAAAGCTTGTTATATACCGTACCTATGAAAACTAATGGGTATGTCCAATCCTCATAAATACGTTGGACACTATTGTAAGTGGGGGTAATATACTGTCTAAGTAGTCTACCACTAGCAGTGGTTTACCTACTTCACGCTACTGGCGAGTATTGTATTTTGTTGATGTTTAAAGATTACCATTTCATTTCCAACCTCCGTTTTAGTTATTCCTAATTCAGTGACCCTTTCTAGGTTACAACAAAGCTTCACCCGTATACTCTCATGCAAAAGGTGTGGGAGGATGAGCTGGTCCCTCAGGATTGGAAAGATGTCATTATGGTTGTTCTGTACAAGGGGAAAGGTGCACAAGACCTGTGTGGGAGCTCCCTTCGCATAACCCTCCTCACTGACGTTGGTAAGGTATTGTGTAGAATCCTGTTAGGCCATCTGCTTACCAACATAGCAGACGATGTGTTGCCTGAGTCACAGTCTGGTTTTTGCCATAGTCGAGGTGCAGTAGATATGATCTTTTCTGCGAGACAGCTTCAGGAGAAGTGTGTAGAGCAAGGAATGGATCTTTAATCAGGTTTTTGTAGACTTAACAAAGGCTTTTGATACGGTTAATCGAGCTGTTTTCTGGAAGATCTTAGGAAAACTTGACTGTCCTGCAAAGTTCATAAAAGTTTTACGTCACTTTTATGATGACATGAAAGCCTTGCTAAATGTTGGTGTAAGCTCTCAAAACAGGGAGACATTCCAACTCCTACGATTTTTGCCATATACTTTTCAATGATGTTCGAAATGGCTTTTAAGGTTTGCCCTCATTGCATCTATATTCGGTATCGCCAGCATAACGGTACAAAATGCCCTCATCCTAGAATTCCTGTATGCTGACCACTGATTTATTTGCTCATTCTGAGAGTGACATGCAGCATTTGATTGATTTGAAAAAATGACTATATTTGTAGTGATTTTATAACATATTTTTGTTGTAATTTTCGAATAAATTACATATATATATATATATATATATATATATAAAGAAATATAGTCTTAAGGTGTGCTATATTTATGGGATAAAGTGCTCAATATCAGAGATAGAGCGTGTGTAAATATAAAAGTGAACATAGAAGTCAACACTTAGAGGCGACAGTCTGTTTCATGCTATATGCAATCGTCAGGCCACGTGTGCTGTTATTTTTCTCGGCTATTTATATATATACGGGGTTAGTGGGCATTGTGGGTATTCTATTATGGCGGTTATTTTTACCGGAAGTCGCTTTGTTCATTTATTTGGGTCAAGTTATATTGCTCGTTTTATTTATTTTTTTATTTTATTTTATTTTATTTTATTTATTTATTTTTTTTTTTTTTTTTGTTTCTTATTTTATTTATTTATTTATTAACGTAGTAAAAATTTGTTTATATCACGTATTTAACAGTTTTGTTTTTGGTTCAATTTTGGGGTTGGTTGTTGTAGTTCATTCTAACTATTATTTTTTGGGGAACAGTTTTTTAATTTGGGATTGGTTTGCCTATTTATTTACTTGGATGAATTTAGGTCAATTTATTTTTATATTTTCTTTTTTGGTTTTCGGTTTTTAAGCAAACATAGTACTTATTTATTTATTTTATTTATTTATTTTTTTTTTTTTTTTTTTTATTATTATTATTGTATTTGTTTTTATTTTATTTTTCCGTTTTTCATTTTTTAGGTTACGTAGTAAAAATTTATTTTCATGCCTGCATTTTGAGATGAGCTCGGATCTTTTATTTAATAATTTATTTTGGTCGGGGAAAGTAATGATAGCTATTTTTCCTCCAAGCAAAGTTTGGTAAGTTTTTGATTGGTTGTTGTGGGCTGATGACTTTTTTCCTTATCTTCCAAGATATTTTTGTGTGATGTGCGTTTTGTTTTTTTTCCTGATATACTTAGAAAGCATAGTACTGTTCGCATATTTACTATTTGTGAACGATGTTTTTGTGTATAATTTCTTTGCTTCCAGGGTCCTTCAGTTACTCCTATGTATACTTTTTCTTCGTTATCTGGTGATTTTATCGTGGCTTGGTATATTACGTTGTTTTGTAGACAATTTCCGTTTAGGGACATTCGTTCTTTATTCTGCAGTTGCACGTGGGTTTAATTTGTTCGTGTGGTTTGTTGATAATTTTCCTATTGTGCTTTTTTTATTATTTGTGCTTATGCTCTTGGTGCAGCTGTAGCTGATTTTTACTGTATTTTGTTGAATATCTTGTGTAAGGTGCTTGATTCTGGGAAGTGTTTGTATAAGAGTTTGAAGAATATTTTTCCTACGTTTGTTTTTACGTTCTTGCTGTACGGTGGGTTGAACCATATGATATTTCTTCTCCTGCTGGTCTTTTTGTATTCTGTGGTGAGTATGTGAGTATTGCTGGGAATCCGCTATCTTTAGGGGCCGTTTTATAGTCTTTTTTAGCTTTGTTAAATAGGGATTCATTGGAGGAATTGTCGGAGAGTCTGCGGTTAATCGATTTTGGTATCTGTTTGATTATAGAAGGCGGATGGTTGGAAGATGTGTGTATGTAGAGTGGTTTATCGTTAGGTTTTCTGTATGGTTTATATGTGCCTTCTTCTTAGGTTGAAGGTCATCTAGGAAATCTACTTTGTTTAGGTTAGTTTTTATAGTTATATATATATATATTAGGTTAGTTTTTTATAGTTATATTGTTATATATTAGGTTAGTTTTTTAGCATATATATATATATATATATATATATATATATATATATATATATATATATATGATATGAGATTTGATCAAATATAAATAAAATATGGATCGGAATCTGACAGAACCAATATATATCTGCTGTTTGTTATCGAACTTCTCCTAACCATATATATTCTGAAATTACATTAACCCGGGTACGTTTACCTTTTGATATAAATTAAATTTAAATTTGAAGCAAGGGAATGACTCCTAGGGTACTTGGATAAGTATATTTCATTTTAGGCTTCCCGGTGGGCACAGACACCCCACTGAAATTATTTATTTTTTGATTTAAATTAAATTTAAATTTGAATAAGAGAATGCCTCCTATTCAAAATATAGAAGGAGAAAGCCAGAAGATGGAGGTCACATCGGCAAGGGCATCGAGTCAGATTGAAATGCATCATTTTTCTCCATAAATTATATCAATGATTTAAAATCAATCATCATTTTCTTACAAACAAATGTGTGACACGCAGCAAGGCGCAAGTAATTCGCCTCGTGATAAGATAAACAAATAGGAAACGTTTATCAATCTAACATATTTCACACTTATTAAAGCTCCATAACTCATTCTCTGATGAAGCTTTAAAAAAGTGAAACATGTTAGATTGATAAACGTTTCCTATTTGTTCTTTATTTTGTCATAACGGAAAAATAAATATTAAAGCACGCATCAGGCGACGATCATCTCTCGGAAAAAGGTGAAATATTTTCATTTTTCTGTTCTCCGTGTTAGAAACTCTGTACTTCTGCATTTTTTTTAAAGTACGACAAGAAATATTAGGCGCTTGTTTCGAATTTAAGCGTAATTTATTCAGTTTGTTAGTTTTTAGACATAAGGCCACGAGGATGGTAAACCCAGTGAGGATCGAATTCATTACTCAGGAGTTATGGTCAATCATGCGAGCTTCGGTAAATAACACCTTATCCCTTTTCGCCAGTTTAGTATGAAAGCAATGAAATCTTTTCCGAAATTCAATAATGTCTGTGAGATTCTTCAGCGTATTATACATTTATATGTTCATGTGTGTGTCTGTTTATGTGATTTTGTGCACCACACACACATACACACACACACACACACACACACACACGTACACACACACACACACGTACACACACACATCTCTCAAAACTTTGTCTCAGTTTTGCAGACATTTTCAAAAGATAAAAACAAAAAGATAATATTCTCTGTATGACGTTAATAAACATTGAAATTGTAATAAAATCAATCAAATCACTTGTTGTTTGTTGTTATTTGTTATCTGCCATAATCCAACAAATGCGCGCGCATGTCGAGAGAGAGAGAGAGTGGGGGGGAACGGTTCATTCAAAACTGATTGCGTTTCTCATACTGATAGTGTTAGATAATCTCAGAGAAGAACCCGAAAGGAGTTTGTCGCTCATAGATTGTGCGTAAGAAATAAATATTTTCTTCTTTGTGTCTTGTTGTTGATTCAAGGCAGAAAAATGAACTAATTTGTTGTGTCTGTAAATTCGTTTATTGATTAATTCTTTGATTTGCGCCTGAAATAGCCGCAGTGCCCGTATATGTGTTTTATTGCTGATGGTTGCCTGTTGATTTTGCGGTTGATCGAATGCGATAAGCGGTGATCGAGCGACGAGAAATTGCACTGGGGAGGAGTTTATCGTTCGCAAAATCATTGCAGGGTGGGGGAGAGGTCGGGAATTATCGCCAGAATCCAATATGTTTCTTGTTTGTTTGTTTGTTTTAAAAATCGATATTATTTCGATTCTTGAATGCCAGCCATACTTACCATCTCTAAATCTATCAATTTACATTGGGTTTGTTTGCTTTGAAAAGACTTCGATTTTATCTGAGTTCGAATACTGAATACAGGCGACGATAACCCGTAGATATTTCAGAGTTTACAAGTATACAAATGTACTGGTTATTTGGAGTAGGAATAACTTGTTGTTCCACTAAGATTAGGAGCAAAACAATGTATGGCGCCACAAGTATGACGCGCCGAATGAAGATTTAAACTAATGTCACTATTTTTACTTTTGCAACCGCCATTTGTATATTTCCAGAACTCCATTGAGTAACTCGACGAATCTTTGTTTGCACAGAGGAAAAAGTTTCATACTTATTTTTAGTATGATATGATGAATTATTACTTTGCAGAGTAGATTACAAGATTCAAATGTTTATCATCTTTAACATCAAATCGCTACGTATGCAGCCACATTACCCCTAATTTAACAGTAAAACTTTATTGAACAGAAGACACACGTCATATTAGTTTTGCAAACACCACAGCTCACAAGCAGCAGCAGTTTATAGAGACAGCAACCGCTCACGTAGATCACCTACACACAGACAGGCCCACGTGCAAACAACTGCAGTCTAGACAGCCGTAGTAACATCCCGTCCATACAACAAGCAAAAACAGTCAGAAATCAAGGTCAAGGGTTGAATACACGCTTCTCAATAAAATGACTTTTGATTTCCACAGGAAGTCATTTATCAACTCTACATAAAATAATTTCTAAATAGTAAATACACTCATTCTACATTACAAAGAATTCCTTTCTTACAACCTTAACTAAATTGTTTTATAAAATGTTTTATTTATTGTAAGATTTCTGTTTTATTATTATTATTTGTTTATTGGGTATTCTGATGCTAAGGTGTTTTCCAAAACTTGAATTGACGATTTGCTCACATATATCCTGTTTAAGTTTAAATTTGGAATTATCAATTTTCATTAAATTGATAATGCCTTTATCGATATTAGTTATCTATATTGATATTTATCGATATTGGGCCTTCTTGATGGAAAACAATAGTTTCCAGGCGTTCACTGCCAATTTTTATTCGTGAATAGGGTATTGTTAGGATTGCTATGAGTTTGAATTTGTCATCAGAAGGTTTTTATATTAAGATGGTTAGTTTACGGGCATGTTCACCATATTAATTCACAACTATAGAATATAGACATTCAAAAACGAATCAACCACAAGGCAATTGAGTAAGAAACACCGATTATGAGATTTAAACATAAAACAACATGCATTTATGTACAATTAATATACAATTTGAAAAACTTGTAGTTTGATAATGCAAAAAATTGAACATTGATAAATTGGGTTTCTTATTGGTTTACAGTTCAAAATTGGTCAAGTGTTTAAGAACTGGTCAAAGAATAAAATGAAAAATATTATTTATACAGAAATTTGAGTAGTTTGTATGCGTGAATAAAGTAGGGTTTAATTGTCTAAATTTTCCAGAGTTGTTTACCTTGGATTGTTCTGTGTTTGTCTTTGTTTAAAATACAATTTCTATTTTAGTAGTGTGTAAGAACACTTTTTTCTTAGAAAGTTGTAAATGAGATGTGAGAGATTATGTTGATGTTTGCGTCAGCAGTTGACGCGCGAAAAGTATCTTAAGTCAAAGTAGTGACACGCGTGAATTTGTGTGGCATCTCTCTGAAGTTTATTGACTGACTGGTGAATTGGGTCGAGATAGTCCTTTTTATTTGTTTCTGGAAACCAAAATAGGTTCCATCGAACTGGGCGCAAAAACAGTTTTTCAACAATTGTTACATGTCTCGACCAATAGAAAGTCGAGATTTGCAATGTGAGGTGTTGGTTGGTTAAAACAGATTCTGATGGAAGAGTGTATTTTATCTCGGAGGTGAGTATGAAATATGGACGATTTTATAGTATCTTGTCTTTTGAGATTGGGGTTGCAAAACTATCATAACGCTACCTTCATAACTAATGATTTATAAGTCTATCGATGAAGCAATAATGACATCCCTGAAATTTACCTTAAGAAATGTGCTCTCATATTTCTCTCCAAAGTGTACAATAAGTATCTCGCTGCTTTACTGCTTGTTGGAAATCATCTTCTGTAGTGCCTGTTTTAAAGAACTCGGTCGAACCGTCTGATCCTTCTACTTTTCGACACATTAGTCTTCCATCTCGAAAGTCCTAGGAGCTCTAATCAACTCTGAATCGGTTAAGCGTCTCACCTCGCATGATCTTTATTTAGACATGCAATATGGTTTTCCCTTCTCTAGGTCAACTGTTGATGTGTTAATGGATATTACTGAAAGAGTTTATCAAGTTTTAGATAAGAAGGATGAAACTTGGTCTTTTGCTTTGAACACATCTCGAAGTCATTTGACAGGGTTTCATATATTGGTCTTCTTTACAAGTTCAAAGGTTATGCTATTTCTGGACGAATTTTTGATTTGATTCAATCTTTCTTATTCAATCGCGAAATGAAAATTGTCTTGAACGACCAAATTACGTATTTTTGCATTAATGTTCGACCTACATTCTTAATTTTCATCAACGACCTTCACAATGTCATCAGTTCTCAACTCGGTATCTATGCTGATGACAAAACTATTTACTCCTGTCTTAATAGTAAGTCTGATTGGTCTCGATCTCAAAATGACCTACAATCTGCTGTTAAACGGGGCAAGGAGTGACTTGTTAATTTTAACGCCTCCAAAATGAAACAGCTCACTTTTAATCACCTTAGAAAACCTATTTTTGCCTTCCATCAGAATGAATGAAATATAATGCATCTTCTCGAGCTAATGTTTTCCGCTGACATTGTGACACCCACTGGTGGTCGCAGCGCTAATATGTGACGTCCTCTGGTCGCGACGCCAATTTGTGACACTGCGCTGTCGGTCCGTGGTCAACTCCCAGTTGCGGTGCGAAGCTGTAAGGTTTCTTCCACCAGTGTTTGGGGTTGACTCCTTGTCGCTGCCACCAGCCTGTGTCCCGGTCGATCATGTCGTTCCCGGTTCGATACCAGCTTTGTCGTTCCCAGCTCACTTCCAACGTCTGGTTACCGAAGTAACTACTTTGATCTCAAGTCTAACCTACCCACGTTGTGACTTTGATCTTAGATGGACGAAATCAGTCAGGCGTCGGGCCGTAGTGCAAGCTGAATCCGGGGGGAAGGTGATATCGCACAAGCGTAAGTAAAAGAAGCAATAAAACAAAACTCAAGAGGTTCAAATATGTTAAGAAATAACAAATTATCTTTATCCGTCTGTTATATACAGGAGTGTGTTTCTCTCCCAGCCCATTTCTATGGATTTGTGACACTTTTGCGTTTCTTAAGCTAGTTTTGGTATCTTAAGTCTTTTGTCAATATAACTTGCTTTTGGTAGGAAGTCGAAGTGTAAAGGACGTGGAATTTTTCGGTCAGCTTCTGCGAGGCAACACTCTGACTCTATCCGGAACTGAATTCCAACTCCAACTGCGAATCAACTGCAAAATTGCCCGTGAACGTTCGTTTATATGGACACCAACCAAAACCTGGTGTGGGGCCTGACGTAGTTTGGGTTCCTCGATAATTCTCGATTCCCAACAAGAGTTCTCTTTGTTCTTAGGCCAGGAAAATTAATTACTTCCCATTTTTGGAAGATTAATCACTTTCCATTTCGGGGGTTTCTCCCTCGTCCGTGAGGGGAGGTCGGAGGAGAGTTATCTTTCTAGACTCTTCCTCTCTCACATTGGTATCTCATACCAATCCCCTCAGTGGGTGTTAACTTCTCCATCTTCCTCATACATTCACCCTCGCCTATCACCCATGCTACCATTTGACCAATGATCCCTCGTCAGTGTGGGTGTGGCTAGACTGGCTCTCTTAAAATTATTATCCAGAATTTTGTTTACAAAATCCTTTTTTTTTTCTTTTTTCCTTCGGCCAAAACATTTTTTTCACAAACCCGAGATTGCTAAATATCACATCTTTCTTTTGGGGACACCCAAAATTCACTCAGTCAGGTCTCTCTACCGACTCATCAATCGCTGTCAAAACCCCACATCTGGCTTCTCTGCTAAGTCAACTTTTAACTAGGGGGTCCGTGTTTTACCTGAGAATCAAATCCTTTATTTTTCTCATGCCTTAAAATCCTCTTATCACCAGATGCCCATTTTCGACGACGCTGTGTCTGACGTCAACAGTTTGAAAAAGTAATAATAATTTCCTCTACGATTTTCTTCCTCGTGCCAGAATTCTAACACATACCAGATGATTTCCCTTCGTTGGACCCAGGAATCAAAATTAAATGATATCTCTGAAAGATAACTAATATTGATTCTCTCTGCCTGTATCGCAGTCGTCCGATTTTTTTTTTATGACTGCCATGTGTCGGCCGGCTTTGTTTTTCTTTCTGAATTCTGTTTCCCTTGGCGCGTCATTCCCTTACCCTGACATTAATCAGTTTTGACAGAATCTCATATCTCGCTTTTTCTTACGGATTTTCTGTCTCGTGCGAAAAGTATCTTTCTTCGTAAATAAAATAAAATCTTTTTAACGTCGCTCAGTCTATCTTTCGATATAGCTCTTTCTCGTCTTAAGTCTTTCCTGTTTTTAATTTCTATGGTTAATTAGTTAGCCAATTACCATAGGTAAATAGTGTCACAATATGAAGTGGGAAAATTATACCGAATCAATTGCTTGGTCTACTGATAGGAAGATTCACTGTGACGTGCTAGACAATTTTTTTCACCAGAATTTATCTTAAACA